TTAGTTCCTGAGTCAACCAGAACAGAGCTTAGTTTGTTAGAGTAACCTTTCTGAAGTGAGTTTCCATAAAGGATTTTCCCTTTCCTGTATAGCTGAAGGTTCCTATTTTCTTTCAGGTTTAACTTAATTGCTATAAGGTTTTACTAGAAAATAGGGCTGCAGAAATAAATACTAAGATCTGTGCAATGGAACAAGAAGACAACAAGGATGTAGGTTCCAAAAGTAGGAAGGCTTTGATTTTCCCCCCCAGCTTATGAAATAATCAGGGTGAAGAAGAAAATCCAAGAATATAAAAGTAGTTCCCAGTAAGAGGGAAAACAGCTAGAGAGATTATCAAGCTGCCAGATTTCTGGCAGATCACAAAAGGAGTGCAACAGAAAGATGGCTTCAAAACAGTCAAGGTTGTCAGTGTGCTCATGACACCAATCAACGAGCACACCATAGCCATCAGGTCACAGAGCTGGGAGTTCATAGGCACTACATAATGCAAGGTGACACGTGGCCACAGAATGGCAGAGATTATTACTGGCAGGAATTAATTGTCCAGGCACTCAAGCACAATAAAAATATAATATAGGCTTGAGGCAGCTTTCATAGATTGTATCTATTTCCTTGTCTGGAATTTCAGCAAATATTTTCACTTGTTGTTGGAGGTCAAACAGACATCAACGAAAGATAAAATAGAGAGGATTAAGTACATGGCTATGCAGAAGACGGAGTTCAGGCTGATGGTCAGGATGATAAATAGGTTCCCAAACATATGATGAGGTACATGTACTGAAAGTGCCCATAAAGTAAGTCTACCACTCTTGCTCCACTAGAAATCTCAGAAAGAGTAAATTTCCAAATTTTGTTTGGTTTCCTATTTTCATGAATCTTCTGAATTTGCACAAGAGAAAAAATACAACACTCAATACAAATAGATTTTTCCCATTACAACAGCCATACACTTTATTATCCAAACCTCTTGGACTTATAAACTCAGTCCAAGGGATGATCACTGCCTTTCTTTGATGACAAGTTGTGCTTACCCTCACTATGTGGAATACAGTCTTCAGGTTAGTGACACTCAAATTCTGTTCCCTGGGACAGCAATGCTAATGATACCTGAGCACTTGAAAGAAATGAATGCTGTCAGGCCACATGAATCTACTGAATCAGGCCCCCTAGAAATGATATTGGAAATGTGAGCAAGCATTCCGAGGATTTGGTGCATGGACGACTTGATGACCACTGTCCCAGTGCTTCCTTGTGCCCCAAAGCTGTCATTCTTTCTGCACAATCTCTGATTCTTTCTTTTCCACTTTCTGCTCAGAGAATGAGGAATGTCTAACTCTGGGAAGATGTTTCAATGACTTTGATTTATGTCAGATTTCTGAAGTATCACATTACTTAACAAATTTCCCAATTCAATTTATTCATGGTGGTGTTGCATTGCTGACAAATAGTCCTGGCATGCACCTACACATGTGTGTGTGTGTGTGTGTGTGTGTGTGCAATTCCCTAAGTCAGAATGTCATTTTAAAATACAAAATCATTGGTACATAAGATTCTAATCATACTATTGACAATGTGAAATAGGAAGAAAAGGGATAAAGGTGTAGGGGAAGTGGGAAGGGTGGGGAAAGGTAATAAGGAAAAAGAAAAAAAAACATGAGAAAATGAAAAAAATGGAAATGAAGTATTTGTAAATATTCTCTATTTACAAAAGGAGGAGGGGGTGAAGGGATAAGGGGAAAAAATGAGAACCAAGACCTGTCATGTAAAGGTACAAGATCCCAATGATGAATGTAACTGTACTGTATACCTAAAATGTACCAACAAACTCAATGAGAAAAAAATTTTCAAAACTATATTGCATTGCATATCTCAAAATTGATAGAAGAAAGGATTTTAGATTTATTCACCATAAAGAAATGATTAAAGTTTAAAATGGCATTAACTATCACACATTGATCATTATCGAATGTATATATGGGTCAAACTGTAATTATGAATTGAAACACCATATCATATCTCATAAATTTTTATTGAGTATGTATCAATCAGAAATAAAAATGTAAACCCTAATAACTAGGTATAAAATACGTTTGCATGTTGAAGTCTACATAATCAAAAGAATAATTAAGGCAGCTATATACACAGTAATGATAAATGAGCAAGGAAAATTATTGACCTCAGATTTAGATAAATTAATTGGGTGCTAATTGTAATTTTTCAGTAAAGCAAAAGAACATGCTATATAGAATTTTTTTTTTGTAATTAACTTTATTGGTACACTTTAGGTGTACTTTGTGATCACATTCATCACTGGGAGTTTGAACCTGTACACAGCACAACTTAGTTCTTATTTTTCCCATTCCTCTTCCCTCCCTTTCACCCTTCCACCTGTCCCTATTTACAAAAGGGAAGGAAAAAATACTTTTTAGAAATTCTTGCTGACCCACCAGGTAAATGGGAATTTCCAAGTATGTCTGGTCCAATGGTTGTAATAACTTTGGGAATTTGGGAATTTGGGCAACACACACACACACACACACACACACACACACACACACACTGTTGGATATCAGAGCATAAAATGTAAAAACACAAACTGTTTATATTGCATAGGGAGGTTGAAATCATAGTAATAGAAAGTCCAGAAAGGAACAAACTCTACTTTTATGATTTGATCAAAGAATCACAATTTTATATTGAGAAGCTTTCAAAGTGCTGCAATCATCATGAGAGTTCTTCAGCCTCAGGGCAATCTCTGCTTTTACAGTTTCCCTTCCAAGAGTCTTTTCAGTGCTCTCTTTACATCTTTATTCCTAAGACTGTAGATGAAGGGATTCAGCATAGGGGTAACCACAGTGTACATCACTGAGGCTGTTGCACTTGAGTGAGAGCTGTGGGTTGCAGCAGAACTAAGGTACACCCCTAAACCTGTGCAATAAAATAAGGAGACAACTGAGAGGTGAGATGCACAGGTAGAAAATGCTTTGTACTTCCCTTGAGCTGATGATATGGCACGTATGGAGGAAGCTATTTTAGAGTAAGAATAAAGTATTCCAGCAAGGGGAACAGTAGCCAACAGCACAAGGGCAAAATACATCACCAAGTCATTAAGAAATGTATCAGAACAGGTGAGCTGGACCACCTGATTAAGTTCACAGAAAAAGTGTGGGATTTCCAAGTCAGTACAGAAGGACAGCCGTAGAACCATTAGGCTTTGTAATAACGCATGCAGGACACTCACGAACCAGGACATCAATACTAGCAACATACAGAGTGGGCGGTTCATCATGACTGTGTAATGTAGGGGGTGACAGATGGCTGCAAACCTGTCATAGGCCATCACAGCCAGGAGGAAGTTGTCCAACTCCACAAAAAGCAAGAAAAAGTACATCTGAGTTATGCAGCCTGCATAGCTAATGATCTTGCTCTGGGTCTGGATGTTCACCAGCATCTTGGGCACAGTGGTAGAGGTGAAGCAAATGTCTACAAAGGACAGGTTGGAGAGGAAGAAGTACATGGGTGTATGAAGGTGAGAGTCAGAGAGGATGGCCAGAATGATGAGGAGGTTCCCAAGCATGGTGATCAGATACATGGAGAAGAAAAGTCCATATAAGAGGGGCTGCATTTTGGGATCCTCTGAAAATCCCAGAAGAAGAAATCCTGAAATTCTTGTGTTGTTTCTTAATTCCATATGGCGGGTGCAGCTATCAGGAAAAAGAAAAAGGTAACATGAATATCTTTACACAAATGGATGCTACTCATATAGTGCTTTAATTTATATTTTCTAGTTTGTAAATTATTTTATATACTTGTGATCTCGTCTCCACAGTGTACCCTAGTGCAATTCCTGATGTACAATTTCTTTTCTACTCTAAGCCTTTCCCCCAATGAGGTCATGTATTCTGTGGTCTTAATGAGAAAATAGTCATTACATTTGAGAAACATATATTGAGTGCTATGTTCCAAGAACACTTTAAAAAATGATTAGTCAATCCTGAAAAGCAAGGATTCCTACATTCCATTGATGTACACAGAATATATGGAGATAAGAGCACCACATGTCTATGACCTGTTTTCTGGTAAGAATGTCACACATCCACAAGATTGTACATATTAAATGTTATGGCCCTATGGTTATCAATTGTACTTTAACAAAGCTGTTTAAAAAAGAAGTAATCATGAAGACAATGAAAGCAAGTATAGTGGAGAGAGTAGATAGAAGTGTGTGTGTGTGTGTGTGTGTGTGTGTGTGTGTTGCTTGGGATAAAAATCTAGGATCTGGTGCATGCTAAGCAAGTGCTTTGCCACCAATCTACACCCTTAGGCCCCCAGTCTGGCAAAAGACGGTGACACATGAACAGACAATAGAACGGGAGCCAGGCAGTCACTTGTGGAAGTTTTATCCAGCAGAGGGAAGTTTTACCAGTGCAAAGGCCCTAACAGGTGTGTGGATCAGATTCTCAACACCTTCAAGGAGCCAGTGTGTGGAGGTCAATGGCAGAGCAGGATGACGATGAAAAACAGCAACAAATGTTGTTGAACAATGAGGTGCTGCTGAAACCGCTGGACACAAGGAGCCCCTCCTTCACACTATGCACTTTTTTCACATTATTAATTTTGTTGCAAAGGCATCCTATGAATTCAAATAAAAGCTCTCCTTACTGCTATTAGTGGTTGAGTTTTCCTCTGTATTATTCCAGGTACCTGTGCTCTGATGATTGTGCATATGAGCACACCACCGCCACCAATGCAGCACTTTGACCCTCTCAATACACTGATTAGGATACCCCCACACTACATACTGGACAGACCAGAGTGTCATTCCTCCAATGAATAACATTCAGATTTTCCATTTTGTAAGTCTTCTGTGAATGAATAAACATGGGGCTAAATTGTGTTACATTTTTTCTTCTGTTCTAATTTGAAGAAATGAAAAGTCAAGTGCCAAAGAAATAAAATGGGAAAAAGAAAGAAAATGAGATAGTAAACAGATCACACCTGAGAGGCTGGAAGGAAGAAAATGTTTCCAAGGTTCTATCTCCTGGATGTCCTGTAAAAATAAGAAAAAATGGAAAACTAAATGTATCCACACTCAAGGGCAGTGACAACTTTATGCTTTCAAACACAGACTAGAAACATGACACCAAGACAGGATTGATTCAAGGAAATAAAGGAACATACAGAAATCACAGCAAACATTGAACATTTTTAATACAAAAGAGAAGAATTTCCTATGCCTATTCTATATTTTTTGACCAGTCTGAATTGATGTGGTCAAGTGATAATAGAGGCAGAAGACTTCCTCACTTTTCTTTTGTGTCATTTTTGTTATTCTTGGACTTTGGATTTTATCTCTTTTTAGGACAAGTTTTCATGTAGCCCTATAGCCCTAGTTCTGGTCTTTAGCAAACACACAACATGCCTCACTAGAACATTCTCCATAAAATAGTGCATGTGCCGTGAAAATTCTATTCTTTATTTCCTATGATTTATTCTCTGGAGGATTGTGCCATGCACATATTTATTTTACTGTACTCAATCCATGTGAAGAGGCAAATGATCTAGGTAAAAGATGCTAATGAGCAGAGATCTCACCTGTTTGGCTCACTTTTGTATTTTCACAAAGCTGCATGTATATATGTGTGTATGCAATTATATACAGTAAATATTTAAAAAGGAGAAGTTACTTAATTTAAAAATGTAGGAAGAATTAAACTAGATTAAATAAAGTTGATTGAATACAACTATATCAAACAAATTGAAGCTAAGCCTCAAAAATTGATGAAATATGCTATAGACCAGTAATAATTTAAATATATTAATGTGGATTAATAATTAAATTGACACAGGTTCTGATATATTACAATGAAGCAAACAATGGTCCTATAAAATTCTGGTTGCTACACATACTCTATTTATTGTTTGGTGAATGAATCAGAATTGAATCATGGTGTATGTGGAAATTCAATATATGACTAGGTTACATTGCAATTTAGTAGGAAGAGATTGGATTGCAGGATAAAAGTTCATTCAAATGTCTCTTGGAGAGAAAATTAAATTAGCCCCCCAGTTATGAACAGAAAGTTAGTGTCCTCAGTGCAAAAGTAAAATTTTTATTTTAGATGAACATCTAGAAATGATATATAAAATCTACAGTGAACAAATTAGGTATGGTAAGAACCTTGGGAGTAAGAAGATAGACATATATAACTACATAAAATTTAAGGCTGTTGATGGCCAAAAAGAAGACTCCATGTGTTAGTAGAGAAACATTAATTTTTAAATATCACTTGAAATGCTGATAATAGTAGAAAAAATCAATACATAATAATAAAAAGAGAAAATGATGATAAAATATGTGTATTTGCTAAAAGTCAGTAATAGTTTACAAAATCAAGACTATTTTCCCACACCCTCTTGCTAAGGGAAAGTACCTTGTTACACTGACTCAGACTGCATTTTTGTTTTGTTTAGGATTTTGAGATAGTATCACTATATAGCCCAGACTGGCCAAACATAATCTTCCTGCCTCAATCTCACTAGTGCTGGGTTTCCTGGAGTGTACTACCATGCCCAATTCAGGATTGGAATTTTTAAATAAATATAATGAGATCTCTCTAATTTTGTGGAAGAATTTTGAGATGATGCCATTGAGCTGAAGAGACATTGTGAAGACAGCTATAAATGTTTAAAGCACAGGTGTTCTCTAACTCAAGGTTTTTTCTACTTTATATTGGACATTCAGGGCCAGATTGTTCTTTGTGGTGAAGGCTGTCTTGCATAAAGTAGGATGTTGAGCAGCACCTCTGACCTCTAATGACTCCCCCTTTGTGTGGCAGCCTGAAACATTTCTGGACGTTGCTCAGTTTAACTCGGGGGGTAAAATGACTTCTGATTCAGAAACATGGTTTGAACTAACAATAGGAAGATATTTTGGCAGCATTAGTATCATAATAAATTAGTGAGAAAGCACATTAAAGGCCATCAAAAGTACTCATAGCACAGACTCATTACGTAATACTAGACATCATTTGAAATATTTAATCTGCCTATAACAATTAATTTGAGAGATATCTCTAAGGAATTATGAGGGAGAGAGGGGGAAAGAGAGAATGAGAATAAGAGCAATGAGCTACAAAAGAATACTGCACTAAAAATAAACAGCATTTATAGAGTACATAGGGCCTAATTTGTTTATCTGTATACAAACTGTGTGAGCATATAGATATGCATAATGCAGAAAGACAACTTTTAAATAAATTTATAAAACAGAATTACAGTTTTAAATTGGTATAAGTATAATTTCCTTTAATACAATAAGTTTACAGATTTTGCTTTTCTAAATAAAACAAATAGATTGAACATTGGCTTTTCTGCATTCTAAGCAAGTATTCTTCCACTGAGCTACAAAAACGCTCTAGCCTTTTAATATGCATAATAACTGTACATAATAAAGGGGTGCAGTGTGATAGTTCAAAATAAGTGTACAACATTTAATCCTCATACTGAGGCCATTATATTTACTTCTCCTAAACATTTGTCAATGCTTCTCCCTGTAATTGTATTTTAGTTCCTATTACCAATACCCTTTGTCTCCCCTCCCCTATCCTTCACTTAGAGTAACCACTATTCTACTGTGTCAATTTCTTAACTTTTAAATTTTTTATGATAATGTCTTCATTCTATATATTTTTAGTTTATTCTTAGTATATGTTAGTGATACTAATGACTATATTCGTCTTGAGGAATTTACACATATACATAACACATCTAATCATTTTTATTTCCCCTTCCCTGACTGTTTTCCAATCTTTCTGATCCCCAGATCACCTCTCCATCTCCACAGTCTCCCCACCCCATTCCTTATCCACTTTTATTTTTGCTCTTTGAATTTATCTTTTGGCTCTAGTATGATATCTACATACATGCATATAGCATGAACTGATTGAAAAGTTAAAAGATAATCTGAAACATCAGTGAGAAAACATATGTAATACTAGTTATTTTATAGGCTTTTAGTTCAAGATAAAATACTTTTATGACAAAACATCTTCCAAATTGCATACCGTCAACATTATCTGAAGTTTTAATTTGTTTTATATAAAGAAATGTGTGTTCAAATAGGCTTAAGGAAGATTAAGTGTGCTTTAATCAAATGGAAGAGAAGAATGATGCCTTAAAGGCAATGACTAAAGAGGGTGCATTGTAGAAACATGTATCAAATCACAAAAGCCAAAAGTCACAACAAAAAAAACACACAGAAATCTGAAAGGTGGACATATATAAATATAAATGTATAAAATGACTTTCCAGCACTGGATATTTAGAACATTCACCTTATTTTTTTAATTTAAAGTAGAGGCTTACAAGTAAATAATTTAGCCACTTAATTCTTTCAGAAGGTATAAAAGCATATAAGAATGCAATATGATGTCAGAGATAGTCACAGAATCTTTATCAATTTACTTCCCCAAAAATACTTCTTACAAACACATGAAAAAACTACATAGCAAGGAAACACGATGTGAGAGAAAAGTGCAATAGTTTGCTTTTAAAAACAGTCAAAAATAGGAATAAAATGCCCCCACCTGGCTATAAAGGAGAAACATATTGCATAGATACTTTGTAATAGAGAAAGGACTTGGCTAACAAACTTGCAGATGCATTCAGACTTATTGGGCATTGAAACCA